GATCTGGGTTCGATCGATCTCACTTTTCTTCGATCGATCAAAGTTGGTTCGATCAATCTCTAATCGATCTCACTTGGCAGTTTTTCAGTATCAACCTCTTTTTGCTCCAGATCAGCCTCCTTTTGCTCCAAATTCTCACCAACACTTAGTTTGACTCCAAAAAGGCCTTAAGAAACCATTTTTAGCCCATTTTAACTTTATTAACCTAAAATAGACAAAAACACAAATAAGTACTAAAACGGAAAAATAAGATAAAATAAGGTCCTAGAATACTCAAGCTTAAGGGGTTTAAATGCGCACTTTTCAGCACTCATCACACCCCCAAACTTAAATATTGCTAGTCCTTAATAATGAATTAAGAAGTAAAGGAATGGAATGAACAAATAAACAACAATGAACTAGAAAGCAATAAAAGGATAACGCCACTTTCGTAGGGAACACAATTGCATTTAGCACCTGTAACAAGCCTTTTAAACCCCTAGGTTACCTCTAGTGGACGAGTGAAGTCTCGTGAGGGTTTACAGAAATGCTACCAACAAACATTAAGCTCATTCTCACAAAAGAGGCACCAATATTACAAGCAAGCATTGGGAAAAAAACTACTCAAATATGCAATTTTTCAACCATTTCCAAGCAGTATCCCAAAATTTCAACATCAAGCAATCAAGTATGGTCCTCCACATATCAAAAAAATAATCATGCAAAATCAAAACAACTCTAGAATCCTTTTTTAGTAGACCAGCATCAAATATGTTGCTATCTAAGCCAACTAAAGAAATGATCACATCCTTACCCTCAAACTAGTACACAAATCTAGTACCGATCATCAAGACAAAGAGTGAACCTTTTATTAAAGCTTTATTCATCTAGGTGTGTTTATTCTTTTCACTCGATATTTTTTTTTTTTTTTTTTTTTTTTTTTTTTTTTTTTTTTACTACTATCCTAGAGAATCAAATATGGAAGCAAGGTGCAATGTGTTGCTCTATTAAGCTTTCTAGCGATTTATGAGGTTAAGCGTTAGGTCAATGACTCCCAAACCAGACGATTTTAGGGTACTAGGTGTTTAAACACTCCTAAGGACTTACAAGCTCAAATCAACTAGGTTACAAATCAAAACAACCTCCATCTAATCCTTTCCCACTTCTCACCTTTTCGGAGAAGTCCTCACTTTTTATTACTTTTGCAACTTCTTTTTTTTTTTTTTTTTTTTTTAAAGTAGAGTTTAGGCCCTCCACCTTTCGGCACGAGAAATTCAGTACTTGATGAGGATAGAATCCCGACTACTCAATGAAAAGGGTTTGTTATCCACCTTTATCAAGAATGAAAGCTTTCAATGCACTACTAACCCAACTGGGATATAACCAATTCAATAATCAAGAAATCATGTAGCCCACAAATGAATGCTAGTGTGCGCCTGTGTTAGTGTAGAATCCTATAGTGAATCTCAAAACAATCACAAAATCAGGATGATGTGGACCATAGATGCAAGCAAGATATCAATCTTTCGAAAAATTTACTCCTAAATGGCATCCACAAGGTATACAAGGAGTATTGGACTCTCAAGTCAAGCAATTTTTAAATTTTAGGCAATATAGTTCTCAAAAGATCAAAATCATAGCTAACATGGATCTCCAATCTCAACCATGTAATTAAGTCTCAAACTTAAGTAGAATGCAACAAAGCCACCTTACTCACAAACTTAAATTGCACATTGTCCTTAATGTGCAATGAGAACAATGGAAAAGATGGAAAGAATATACCGTGGTGGAAAAGACATGAAGCTCGGCAATGATTCAATTTGAAAAGGGTCTCTCCCAAACTTGGAATCAACAACATATTTGAATAACCACACTAGCAAACTCACATCAAATATCAAATCGGATAAGAATAATCAAATCATGCATTCTAAGGCAATATAACACAAGATGAAAGAGAGATATGAGATCAAGCCCTAGCTAAAGCATGAAAGTAGCATGACTACACATAAAGGCACAACGGTGAAAAGTTTTTATATTTTTCTTTTTATAAAAGCAAGTATATACAAAATACAAGAAAAACAAAAAATAAAATACATAAACAAAATGCAAAAAGAAAAATAAAGAATGTAAAATGAAATGAAAGAATATGTACAATGCAAGAAATGAAAAACAAAAAGTAAGAAAGAATGCAAGAACAAAAAAATAAAAATATTTTTTTTTTTTTCATTTTTTTATGACATAACAAGTATGTACACACACACTATAAAATGCAAAGAAATAAAAATATAATAAATGAAAATGCAATGAAATAAAGAATGCAAAAAATTTTTTAGAGAAAACAAATATGTACACAAACAAAGATAAAAAGACAAGTAAATATTTTTTTTTTTCCTAGTTGACAAGTAAATAACAAAGCAAGAAGTAAGAATGAAAGGAAATAAATAATGTAAAGAAAGAGATTTTTTTTTTTTTCACAAAAGAAAAGTAAGTAAATAAAATAAAAGAAAATAACAAAAGTAAAAGAAAATGAAAAATAAAATAAAATAAAAATCGAAAGAAGAGAAAGTCAAAAAGTCAAAGGGGCAAAGCTGTGATCAATCTAAGGATGATCGACCGATCGATCCAAGATGTAAAAACCTGCAAACAACTTCGAACGATACACAGAGATCTGAAATATGCAAAAATTCAAAAAATTTCGAAGTATAGAACTGAGATTGATCGAAGGGATAACTGGATTGATCGAGAAATAATTGAATCGATCTAGAAGAAAGTTTGCACGATACACACAGAACTGATTTATGCAGAGAACTAACCGCAGAGAAGTTCGATCGATCGAAGGGACACTTGTGATCTATCGAATTGGCACCAAATGCCTAATTTTGAGATAAAAGTGTAGAAAATCCTATGCTAAACCCCAATGATGGTAACAAGAATGGAGATTGAAAAATAGATGGAAGAATGTACACAAGAATGAAAAATAAAAAGAAATGAGGGACGAATAGAGTTTTAAAACTCTACGAACACTAGTGTTTAACGTCTCTAGCAAGATGTTGGGTTAACTCACTAACCAAAAGAATCAAAAAACTGGATATGAAACATCCTTATTAACCCTCCTCCTCCTCTCCTACCTCTATAGTGGTCAACATCTCCTCACTCTCTAAAGTAGCAATGGTCGAGATAAAATCATAATCAAAACAAGGAAAGTCCTCATTAATCATATTATGCTCTATTGGATTAGCCATTAACTCATTTACCACTTCCTCCTCTATACAAGATATAGTGCTAGGCATTAGCTCACTTATCTCATCCTCCTCTTCACTCTCATCATCCTCATCTACATAAATTGAAGTTCTTGCCATTTTTTCATTTGCCTCTTCCTCCTCCTCTTGACGAGAAAGAGTACTTGCAATTTGTTCAACTTGAGCTTCAAGCGTGACTAAAGTTTGAAAATGAGAATTAATAAGTGGAGTTTTGTGAAATATGCACATCAAGTAAAGCTAACATTTTTTCTTCAAATCCGGGTGAGTACCTAAAAGATGGTGAAGCTGATTCATCATAAAATGGTGGGGGAGGGTAATAGTCATAGGGAGGATCAAAAGAGTGATCAAGTCCATAATAAGATGATGCATGTTGAAATAAATTGGACTCAATCTCATGAGGATTAAAATATGATGGAGGAGCATAAGGTAACACCCCCCCCCAAACTTGAATCAAAGAATCCCTCCATTCACAATTAAAATCCAAATACAAAAAATAATGGCCTCCACACGGGCCGATCCTTGGACAAAAATTAAAGCAATGAAATTAGCCTCAACAAGGGCTATCATAAGCATACAAAGAAGTAAAACAATTAAACTATGAGATTTTCAAAAAATGCTCACAAAGGTTTTTAAGCAACTTTAACTCCAATCCTAGCTTTAAGTTCCAATGATTGCTTCAAGTTTCAAAGTTTGCCTTTCTTGTAGTCAAGTACCTAAATGAACAAATAATAATGAGAACAAGAGAAAATAATATGCAGTGGAAAATAAAATAAAAATACAAGCAATCAAATGAACACTATTGTCTAGTTTAATTCCAACAAAACCGTTAATCCCCGGCAACGGCACCAAAATTTGACCATGCCGCTTGTATACACCAAAATAATGTAGTGAATGTGTGATTCAAGAAAAGCCTTTTTGGTCAAGTTTAAATTTATAAAAAACCACTACCACACTACTACTAACGTAGCAAGAGTGAGTAGGAATCGCCCCAAGAGATTATACGTGTTGGTATTTAACTTTAACTCTAATGTATCAATTGATTGCAAGGAGAGATTGGTTTATTACTCTAGAAAATAATTAATTAAAATGCAAGTAAAATAAAACTAAGTTGAGATGGGGATTTAAGAGATGAGAAGTGAGGTCTTGGGGTCTATTGGAATTGTCACCAAGCTTGTTCACCAAATCACACACTTTCAACTAATTTGGGGAAAACATTCTTGTGAACAAAATGCGACTACCGATTACAAAATTAAGCATGGACCATCAAATTCATGTATGAATTGTCTACTTAATCAACAAATAATCTAAGTACAAATCAATCCATCAAATCTAAGCATGACCCATCAAACTAGTCACAATTGTAGCACACATTAATCTAGAGAATCATGAAATTTGCAATAATAGACCATGGAATATCAAATTAAGTATAGATTGTCTACTTACCTACAAGCATGAATTAAATTGTAGAATAACCCATCAAGCATAAGTATAATCCATCAAATTAATTGACAAGCTCATCTAATAAAAACCATGTCTAGCCATCACTAGATTCTCAATCAACCACACATAGACATATAATTAATATAGAAAAATTAGTGTAGAGATCAATTCTCAAATAATTACACATAAGACAACATACAATCATATAGAGAATCAATAGATAGAATTAATCTATATAAATCATGTAAGACATAATTTCCAATTTAATCACATATAGACATGTAAATAAACTACAGAATTAATTGGAAGAATTAAACCATATAAATCATAGAAATATATCAAGATTCATTAAATTCACAAGGCTAGAACACTAATCACAAGATATTACTTCCCAAAAAGTATGAAAAAGATGGAGGTTTAAATTACAAAGTTGGGGCTCATCCAAGCCCCAAGGAGAAGTCTAGCCAATCATGGAGGAGGTAGATGTGATCTTGGAACCCTCAAGGGCAATCCCCAAACATGGCTCCATCTTCTTCCTCTTCTTCTTTGTTGAATTCTAGAGAAAGAGAGTGTGTATAGATGTTGAAATGTGTTCTTGGAGCCTCCACTCTTCTCTTTTCTTCTAACCCTAATCTCTAACTTTTCTAGAGAGAGAGAATAAAAATTACAATGTAAAAGTAAAATGATAAAAAGCTTATTTACAAAATGGTTCAATTCCCTTTAAATACAAGATCCTTTTCTTAGTCATTGAGTCAGAAATATAGCCCCAAAAATATCTAGTCCCGCAACTATGTGATAGGTGGAGTTCGGGCGCGCGGGAATAAGACAGCTCACTGCCAGCACGTTTTCGATCGATCCAACTTTTCTTCGATCGATTTCACTTTTCTTCAATCAATCAGAGTTGGTTAGATCGATCTCACATGGCAGTTTTTCTGCATCAGCCTCTTTTTGCTCCAGATTCTCACCAACACTTAGTTTGACTCCAAAAAGGCCTTAAGAAACCATTTTTAGCCCGTTTTAACTTTATTGACCTGAAAAAGGAAATAACACGAAATTAGTCTAAAACGGGAAAATAAGATAGATAAAGGTCCTTAAATACGTAAGCTTAAGGGGTTTAAATGCGCACTTTTCAGCGCTCATCATACCCCTAAACTTAAATATTGCTAAACACATAGGAATTTAATCCCCACCTGTCATACCTAATTATTGCGATCGTTGTAGTATAGTGGTGAGTATTCCCGCCTATCACGCGGGTGACCCGGGTTCGATCCCCGGCAACAGCGCCAAAATTTGACAAGGCCGCTTGTATACGCCAAAATAATGTAGTAAATGTGCGGTTCAAGAAAGATCTTTTAGGTCAAGTTTAAATTTATAAAAACCACTACTTCTAACGTAGCAAAAGTGAGTAGGAATCGTCCCAAGGGATTATACGTGTTGGAATTTAACTTCGACTCTAGTGGATCACAAGATTGCAAAGAAGAGATTGATTATTTGATTACACTAAAATTCAATTAATTGAAATGCAATTAAATAAACTAAGTTGAGATAGGGATTTAAGAGATGAGAAGTGAGGTCTTGGGGTCTATTGGAATTACCACCAAGCTTGTTCACCAAACCACACACTTTCAACTAATTTGGGGAAAATATTCTTGTGAACAAAATGCGACTACCAATTGCAATATTAAGCATGGATCATCAAATTCAATAATATATTGTCTACCTAACCAACAAATAAACTAAGTGTAGAATAGCCCATCAATTCTAAGCATGACCCATCAAACTAGTCACAATTGTAGCACACATCAATCTAAAGAATCATAGAATTTGCAATAATAAGCCATGGAATATCGAATCAAATATAGATTGTCTACCTACCTACAAACATGAATTAAATTATAGAACAACCCATCAAGCATAAGAATAATCCATCAAACTAATTGACATACCCATCTAATAAAACCCATGCCTAACCATCACTAGATTCTCAATCAACCACACATAGACATGCAATTAATATAGAAAAACTAGTGTAGAGATCAATTCCCAAATAATCACACATAAGACAACATGTAATCACAAAGAGAATCAATAGGAAGAATTAAACCATATGAATCATGTGAGACATAATTCCCAATTTAATCACACAAAGACATGTAAATAAACTAGAAAATTAGTAGGAAAAATTAAACCATAAAAATCATAGAAATATACCAAGATTCATTAAATTCACAAGGCTAGAACATTAATCACAAGATATTATTTCCCAAAAAGAATGAAAAAGATAAAGGTTTAAATTACAAACTTGGGGCTCATCCAAGCCCCAAAGAGAAGTCTAGCCAATCATAGAGGAGGTAGATGTGATCTTGGAACTCTCAAGGGCAATCCCCAAACATGACTCCATCTTCTTTCTCTTCTTCTTTGTTGAATTCTAAATAGAGTGTGTAGATGTTGAGATGTGTTATTGGAGCCTCCACTCTTCTCTTTTCTTCTAACTCTAATCTCTAACTTTTCTAGAGAGAGAAAATAAAAATTACAATGTAAAAGTAAAATGATAAAAACTTATTTACAAAATGGTTCAATTCCCTTTAAATATAAGGTCCTTTTCTTAGTCATTAAGTCAGAAATATAGCCCCAAAAAATATCTAATCCCGCAACTATGTGATCGATGGAGTTTGGGCGAGCAGGAATAAGACAGCTCACTGCCAGCACATTTTCGATCGATCCAACTTTTCTTCGATCGATCTGGGTTCGATCGATCTCACTTTTCTTCGATCGATTAGAGTTGGTTCGACGATCTCTAATCGATCTCACTTGGCAATTTTTCAGCATCAGCCTCTTTTTGCTCCAAATCAGCCTCCTTTTGCTCCAGATTCTCACCAACACTTGGTTTGACTCCAAAAAGGCCTTAAGAAACCATTTTTAGCCCATTTTAACTTTATTGACTTAAAATAGACAAAAATACAAATAAATACTAAAACAGAAAAATAAGAGAAAATAAAATCCTAAAATACTCAAGTTTAAGGGATTTAAATGCGCACTTTTCAGCGCTCATCAGTAATAAGATCAGAAGCCATAATTTCCTCATTTTGCACTGACGCCATATGGCTCTGTGATGAAGAACTAGGGATGATACATCCTTCCAACGAAGGAGCAAGCCCATCAAACCTACAATCACCCTTACTACTCCCTATACCTTGTTCACGCATAGCAATCCCGCTATTAAGAACCTCGTCTCCAAAAGAACACGCACCAATACCATCTCCATCACCCAATTTAGACTGTCCATCAACACTAGACAAAGCAACCACAACATTAACGGATGAACCTCTCGGATGGAACCCCGGACCTAGAGCTGGCCTATCTACCAGACCACGGGAATCAGGAGTCCAGGCATGAAACTGACGCATCCCAGAAAAGGACTTAGACCCCTCAGAAACATCCTCACCATCAACATCCTCATCTTCCACATATAACCAATTTTTTCCATTCCCATCTCCTAAATCAACCGCCTCACGATCTGTGTTCCAAAGGTCTTTCCCTATAAAGCCTTCCACCCCCAACCAACTCCCATACTCCATGAGATCCCCAGGTTCCAAGGAAGCCCCAGTCGTACAAGATTTCCAATGGTGTCCAATTATGTCACAAGCAAAGTAAAAAGTTGAAATTTTCTCATACCGTACTTGCACCCAAGACTCCACTCCCATCGGATCCGTTAAAAGAATATGGCGCCTACACGGTTTTGTGATATCCAGCTCAACTTGAAGACGAAGAACACGGCTGTCAGCTACCACTTCTTCTTTGTTATCGCCCAAACCTTTATCACGTAACTGCACTTTCAAACACCGACCAAAGGTACTACCAATCCTTTGCCCGACCTTCTCAAGCAAAAGGTTGGCCTAAACATCAAGGAGTTAGATCTAGAAGGGAGAAAATTGAAAAGGTTTATCCGAACATAGCAGACCCTCCTCCCACTCCCTAAGTTCCACAAGGTGCCCATCAAAGAGCCATGGACAGCCAGCAATAATGCGCTGTCGAATACTGGCATCAGGGATAATCAACTAAAACAAATTACGCGCCACTTTAAACACTTGCAACTGCTTTGTTAGAGACTCTTGTTATTTATCTTTGAGCCACAATTTGTTAAAAAAAGCTTTACCAAAGGTAAACTTAGCCCCTACTAAGGTTGTAGTCTTTGAGGCCCACACCTTCCCAAAAAGACTGGAACGACGAAACTAGTCACTCTGGGCTATCATCAACCGACAGCAGAATGAGCTCCTTCTCTTTTTGGGTCAGTGTCATTCCTTGGAACTGAGCAACTATAGTATGATCCATCTCCATCACCCAAACAAGAGCCCATCAGAAAAACACAAAACATACAAAAACCCACCACTGAGACCTCACGGCCCAACAAGAAGTGTAATATAACTTATGATAGTACGTCTCAAAAAGAAGAAAAGGAAAGTTAGTGAATAGATAAGCAACCGCGTGAATCACAACTAACAGCAACCTCGACTATGAAAAGGCAACCCACTATGCCAAAGATAGAAACATATTCAATACGCCACACAGTCTCAGCCACGTACGTCAGGAAGGAAAATAAATAATTAAATATAGAAAAAAGAGAAAGCATACCCAGAAAGAAAAAAAAATCTTCATTACCAAATAGAAACCGCCAGCATAAGTAATTACGTGTTGTAGTAGCTGGCCCACCATAACCCAAAATTCAACTTTGATAGGACTATGAACTGACTTTAGCCATGAAGTCAGGTAAGCTTCAACCGGAGCAAACGTACCCAAAAAGATAAAACTCTGCAATGCCCAATCGAAGCCCCCAACATTCTTGATTATGCGCGGCAGAAGCGGGCCGATCTCAACCCAAAATTCAACCATGATAAAACCTGGAACTGACGTCATCCATGATGTCACAGAAGAATCAGCCGAAGGACCAAAAGTTGACCTCAAAAGCCGACTCTTCCAGAAAGCCTCGATCACCAAAGCAGAAGCACTGTAGGCGCCGGACGGTGGCAGATTGGTCCGAAACAATAGATCTTCCTCCCATCTCCGAAAACCCCCAAAAGAGAAACTCCAGAAAAAGTGTTTCAGAAACAATCGGCCCCAAGAACCAATAGACTGACCAGTAAACAACGCACCCCGCCGACCCGCCATCTCAACTGACCCAGACAACCGAAATGAATAGCAAAGCATATAGTATCCCTGATAAACATAAATCTATCTCCAGATCGCAGTAGAACAGTACAAAATAGAACGACCAAGAACCCCAAAACACAGGATTACATCAACAAAATGCAAAGGGAAATTACACCACCAAAAAATCCACAAGATAATCCATTCCCCCAAAACAACTCAGATCCAAGAGTAACCCCCAACAAAAGACATACCCACCGATTAGCCAGTAACACAAACACCCACCCTAACAGAAACCCTCACAGCTAAGATAACCAAACTACTGTAAACCCCAACGAGACCACTAACAGTCTAACAACCTATTGAACACCCAAACTACTGTGAGAAAGAGAACCAAACAACAATATAGCACGACACCCACCCAACCACCACACATACAACAACACACTCCCAACGCCGAGCAAAAGAACTGGATCCGAACAGCTCGATGAACCAAAAGAGAGAAAAAAGAAGAAAACGAACCGATGCAAAAGAAACCAGATCAAGACTCCCACCAAAGGAGAAAACCAAAATTCACAACTCTCAAAAAACAAGACGAAATCTGATTACAAAGAACCTCGACTGTGGCGAGGAGACCCCTACTTTTGTTTTATGCTTTTTTGTGTACACTATAAACAAACCTGGGAATGGAAAATTAAAAGAAAAGAATATAACAACGTGCATTTTTATTTTATTTTTATTTTTTGTTATCTACTTCCATTCAAACTTAAATCATTCCTAATCATGACAAACTGATAAAGAGAGGAGATGGATTAATTTATTAATAATAAAGATAATGGGTTCCTAGACATAATGAATCGATCATTTAACTAAACAATACCACACAAGAGGAAAAATCCAACAGTTTTCGAGCAATGAACTCCAATTCGATGGTTGGGTTCTAAAGCAAAAGCAACTATAGTGGATATGCTAATGATTTTACATTTGTTTGACCAAAAAAGGGTTATGTACATATATTTATTTTATTCGCAAAAAAGAATTACTTCAAGTGTAAGGCGTTGTGAAGTTTGTTACGGACCCCTAATGGAGTCCTCAACCTCTCCATTTATAAGCTTCATTTTCAAGCAACTAATTTCCAGAATGATGATTCTATGTATATCCACAGTGCCACGTGTCCACATGTCTATGGGATGGGTAGAGTTCATTCTCAGACTTGTAACATCCTTCTTGATTCATAATAGCCAAAGTTTTCTTTTCGTGGTCGTAAAAGCTTAGAGAATTTGGGCGAAGTATATTAAAAATTGTATTATGCGTGATTGATACACGATTGTATCTTTGTATACACTTGTGTTATAGTGACCGAAATAGAGCATCGATCTGCCGAAATGAGCCAAGAAAAAAGAGAAAAAAGAGAAAAAAGAGCTCTCAGTTCGATCGACTGAAGTACAATAGATTTAATTAAATAAATTAATCAAGTTATAAATGAATTAACGGGTCAAATGTAAACACAAACACATTTAATTATCGTATCTCCAATTAACACATAAATATAATTAAGTCAAATTCAAATTCACGTACATCACGTCATGTTTGAGATGTTTAGATTGCCACCCCATCACCTCAGCTCATCACGAGGATAGTTTAGACACTGTATAAGTGGGATTCTTACCTATGGATCCTTCATTGTCATTTAGCAAATGGCTCAATCCCACGTCTACGTATTTATGAAATGACAGCTTTCCCTACAAAATTTTCTTAAAATTTTATTCATGGTAATTATTTATAGTTATTAGTGGTGAATCTGATGATTACGCATAGAAAATTTAAAGTGGCCCTTCAAAAATTTATAAATGAACAATGCTAGGGTCTAATTCACATTGGGTGTATTTCATCTAACTTATTAATGTGGTGGTCCAATAAAATTACACCAAGTGTTAAAATTAAATATAAAATTAAATTAAATATTGTCTAACTTTTGTTTTTGAACATGTATTTTAAATCCTAATTTTTATTTTTAGACACTTAATTTAGATCTATTGGGCCCCATCAGCAGTTCATCCAATCAGGTTGGACCTAAGCATTGTTGTTTATAAATTCACATTTATAGTAACCAATCTATGATAATTAAAGGTAGTTTGCAAAAGAAGTTAGTTGTGATCCGTCAAAGTTTTGGTCTTACTTTATAAAATATAAATTTAATAAAAACTCTATTTATATATATATACATATATAAATTTTTTGTGGGAGGCAACATTCGGCACTCCAATTTTATATGATTGCACTTCAATTTTAAAAGAAATGACACCTCTAATCTTAATTTTAAAAATTAATAATTATTTTTCTCAGATACCACAATTACTATTTTCAGTTATGCTAAGATATTTTTGTCTTTCCCTATTTCCCAATTAACATTTTTGGTATCTTCAGTTTTTTTGTTAACCCCCCCTTTTTTTTTTCTTTCTTTTGTTTCCCGCTTTTCTAGACTTTTTTTCTATTTTGTATTAACTTTCTCTAACATAGTTGAATGATCTTGTTCGCATAAAAAATATTGAATAACTATTAAACTCTTTTTTATTTTGTATTAACTTTTCTAACAGAGTTGAATGATCTTCTTACTTTATAAAATTTAAATTTAATTAATAAAAACTCTATTTATATAGATATACATATATAAATTATTTGTGGGAGGCAACATTCGCACTCCAATTTTATACAATAGCACGTCAATTTTAAAAGAAATGGCACCTCTAATCTTAATTTTAAAAATTAATAATTATTTTTCTCAAATATCACGACTACTATTTTCAGTTATGCTAAGATATTTTTGTCTTTCCCTATTTCCCAATTAACATTTTTGGTATCTTCAGTTTTTTTGTTAACCCTCTTTTTTTTTTCTTTCTTTTGTTTCCTGCTTTTCTAAACTCTTTTTCTATTTTGTATTAACTTTCTCTAACATAGTTGAATGATCTTGTTAGCATAAAAAATATTGAATAACTATTAAACTCTTTTTTTATTTTGTATTAACTTTTCTAACAGAGTTTAATGATCTTGTTAGCATAAAAAAATATTGAATAACTATTAAAACTTCGTGAACCATTAAACTCCATGGAAATGGTAATTTGTTTATTTTCTTTTTCCTTTTTGTTTTATGCTTTTGAGTTTATGTTTGGATCTTTTTTTTTTTTTTTTCCCTTCCCTAGTGTGATTGTTATGAATTAATTTGGATGGTGATGGGAATGGTAATTTAAAAAAAAAATTCTTTTCTATTTTATGCTCGAAGTTAGTTTGATATATATATTTTTTTCAATCTGATTTTTAAAAATTAATTTAAAATTAACTTAAATATTTAAGTTTTCTTTGTACTTGTTAATAAATAAAGTCCTCACTCTTTTGACAATAAAATTACAAGACTAGAGATTTTGGGCAAAGAATAAAATAAATATATAAATAAATGAGAGATATATTATATAACATGGTATAATTCATCTTAAAATATCTCCATAATTGACAACTTCATTTATGGCAGTTAACTAATTTTCCCTTTATTTATTTTTCTCATATTATTTATTTGTAGATATGCACTTAAAAATATACACTAAAAACACACTTAAACAAAAATCGTTTCAATTTGTATTATCTTTTCTTTAAAATTTTAATTATCGTTTCAAAAATCGTTCCTTCACACATACACATCTACACAAGGGCGGAGGGAGGGCTGGGCGAAGGTGGGCTTCAGCCCACCCCAAAATAATTTTTTTTTTTTTTTTACTACACTACTTTCAGCCTAGCCCCAAAAAAAAAAAAAAAAAAAAATTAGCCCACCCATAATTAACCCAATCCTAAATTAGCCCATCCCAATCAACAATCCTGAATCCGCCCTTGCATCTACACCTGCGAGTTGATTTGCATTAGCTATCTTGCACCAATCTTTTACCAGATTTATCCAACATTTCACCAGGGTATAGACGTTCATTGCTTTAGGACATTTGTGAAATATGTGTTTCATAGTTTTTCTTTCCAAACCGGAACTTCTAGAACATATTGGATCAATATTAACTCTTTTAATAAGAAAATTAACTAGCACTATTTTCTTTTCTTTTCTTTTCTTTTTTTTTCTTTTGGGTCATTTAGGAACTAAAAAAGTATTACAATTTAGAACTTTTTAAAACAAAATTAATTTTACTTTAGCTCTGCCAACCAAATGAAGCTCTGTTTGTCCGCTCCTGGATAACACCTATTTCACATGTTGTAACTGCTCTTTTTATAGCCTGACTTGGACCTCACGAAGCCTCTTGGCTGGAAAATATTAGGGAAAATTACATATAAATGGAGTCAAAGTTTCATATTTACTTAGAGGCTGAGTCAAAGTTCCATATTTCCCTAAAATGGATTGCTGAGGTGGCACATGGTTTTTTACTGTTTAGAAATTGTGGTGCCTAAAATACCCTTCCGCGAAGGTACTACTTTTTCTTCGAAGGTACTACTTTTTTGAACTGAAGGTACTACTTTTTGGTGTCCAGGTACCATGTTTTTTAAACACCCGCGAAGGTACTACTTTTTCTT